TGAGCAGGGAAAGAGGAAGAAGCAGGGAAAGAGGAAGAAAGAGGAACAAGCTCCCTGCTTGACAGGGAGCCCGATGCAGGGCTCCATCCCAGGACTCTGGGATCACGACCTGAGCCGAAGGCAGACGCTTAACTGACTGTGCCACCCAGGCGCCCCTATATCCTATATTTTTAACATCATTATGGTATGAAGACGTCATCTGAATTTTCCAGATATGCTTTACTTTATTTCTATCCTGAGAAAAACAACTATATGGTACAGAGTTTTAATAATAAATGTTGAGATTTTCAAAATTCTTGAGATATATCCGTTATGAATATCAGGTTTCTGTTACAGTAAATAGCAGGCATTTTATGAAGGAGAAAAAAAAATCAAATTTCTCTTAAAACTAAACAAACCAAAAAAATGTGGCTTCGTTTTTAGATCTTGGATCACCACTAAGTTAATTAACATGGATAACGGGATATTTATTATACAGTTCTCATTACTATTCTCTCTCAAGTGTACATCAATAGGTTTTCTCCCAGTCCCTTTATCAGTACAGGCACCATTCACTAATAGAATGTAATCAGCTCCCAAATACATAGATGATAGATTAACTCTGATTAGGACAATGACTCAATGATCAGGCAATGCCAATTCTTCATTGACAAGGTCCCACATAAAACTCAAAACTAAAAATCCTCTAATCTCAAGACTTTAGCTAATATAAAAATGGATGAAATCTTTATCCTACAACTTCAAATATCTTCCATACTGAATTTAGTTGAAAAAGATGAATTTAATTTCACAAGTAGTTTATTATTCAAATACCTAAAGATTGGTGATAGAGGGAAGAGGGGAAGAATAGGGAACAAAGCAGAGAAGGGGGTGAATAAGAACTTTTGTTAATGTGATTATCCCTATATTACAGATAAAGGGACTAAAGGATAAAAGAACCTCCTCATTTTAGGTAAGGCCACAAAGCTAGAATTTAAAGAGGATTATTATCTGAGGTCTAAACCCCTCTAAAGCTCTTAACTATTTCTTACTGTAATTTTATGTATTCTTTTCTGTTAGAAAATTGTTTTCTCACAAGTTACAACACTTTTCTAGATAAGACAAAACAAATATTAGTGTATAGTCTTTGTATAAATCTACCTTTTCAATCAGACCGTCGTGTTTGTCTTTAAAGTCTTCATTAATATCCAGTGTTAAAATAGGGATTTCTTGTAGAAAATCAAAGTTGGTTCTATTTTAAAAAAAAAATGAGATGGAAAAAAAAAATTAGAAAAAGCAATAAATAAAAGACAAACACTAAAAACTCACTCTTATACTATCTCTGGAAAATTAAAATGTTGTCAATCATTTTACATTAAATTTACCCAGCAAGTACTTTATCTGGAAGCCCCTTCTTTCTCCCCTAGACTTACTACTATATAATAATACTAATATCTAAAAATCTCAAGTATAAAATATATAAAGTTAGGCATTATGACATGTAATTCTTCTCAAAAACCAAAAACTTCCCCTAAAGTAAGGAATGTTTGCATTTTGAAGATGAGAAAACTAAAGCTCAGGAAGGTCACTCTGAGGCTCAGGGGATGCATGCCTAAGGTTACACACTAACAAACCTGGATTTGATCCAAGATCTGACTAATGACAACAAAGTCCATGCTCTTAATAACTGTGCTATACTACCTCCCAAGCCTTGATCTAAAAAATAAATCTGAAGTATCTTATCTTAAATTCTCTCTGAAAGTGAGTACCTAATATATCTGCACACAGATATATTTCCTACTTCATCACTTAAATTCCATATATCATGCTGTCAATACCTCTGGAGGAGATCAGATATAAAAATTTTAAGAAAATAGGATCTCATTACAATAAAAAGAAGCAAAATTCACACCTAATTCTGGGAGATCCTATAATACTGGTTCAAAATAAAAATGGCTGAAAATGAAAATCTGTACATGTTTAGATTAAAATTTGATAAAGCTCTTTAAAATAAATAGTAAATAAGAATAAGGAAGTCTTACTTCAGTGTTCTATGCAGTAGCCAGCTCTCATGCTTATAGTGAAGCTTCTCTAAATATTCAAGAGGAATGCCTTGTTCTTCATTTCTTCCTCGTAAATATATTCTATTCAAGCATTTCTAAAAGCAAACAATAAGAAAGGGGTTGGGGGCAAGGAACAATTATTCTTGTCTGAGGCCATTAAATTTTTCTTCTCTAGTATCTCTTTAGTTATGCTAGCCAAAATCTCCATTTATTCCTTCTAGAAAGTTGAAATAGTTCATTTTTCCTTCCTTGTGCTTTTCAACCATTTGGTATCTCTAAACCAAGTAGTACTTTCAGTCTATAAACTTATGGGATCCATACTTGAAAAATACTGTATAAAATAAGTTCAGTAAAAAGTTCAATATACAAACTGTGCTGCAAAATTTATTATAAATCCTCTTTTCAAATACTTAAATGATCCTGCAATCAAAAGATATTATAAATAATATTGAAAAATCAAAGTTTTGTGTTTACAGACTTTAAGATATTGGCTATATTTTCTAGCAAAATGAAATTATTAGTATTCTTTATGTTCTACATTTGCATTTACTATTTTCTTAATTAAAAACAAAAAATTCTTTTCAAAAAATAAAAAAGTGAATTTCAAAATTATTGTTAAATTCTGGCTTCCTTGATATTAAAAAGAAGAACAAAATCATCACTTGGAATCCGAAACCTAGTTTCTTTGAAAATTCAGCTTCAATAACAACACAGTATTCTTTCAGGCTAGAAGTCATGACATTTATATTCATCAGAGCCTACTTTGTGGCTTAGGGAAGACACAGGAATAAAAAACATAGAAAAACTGGAATGTAAGCACGAAAACCAGAAATTTGTTAATAAAGTAAGCTCTTATTTAGGTTAGCTTTATGAAAGGAATCCACTTCCTGGATTCATTACATAATTTCATATATAAACAAGAATGGGGGCGCTGGGTGGCTCAGCTCATTAAGCATCTGCCTTTAGCTCAGGTCATGATCCCAGGGTCCTAGGATGGAGCCCCGCATCGGGCTCCCTGCTCAGCAGGGCAACTGCTTCTCCCTCTCTTCCCTGCTCGTGCTCTCTCTTGCTATCTCTGTCTCTCTCTCTGAAATAAATAAATAAAATCTTAAAAAAAAAAAAAAAAAAAGAATGGCTATGTTATAACCTATCACGAAAGGCACATTTTCAAGTAAGCTCCCTTAACTGAAAATGGTAAGGGTCCTCTAAGTCTCTTCTCAACTGAAGCTGCTATCCAGTCCGACCCATGAACAAACATAAAAGATTTCTTGAAATGGACTTTCATCACCTTTGCGATTCATTCACAAATATTTGCTGAGTTCCTACTATGTACGTAGGCCTTGTTCTAGGCAATGGAAATTCAACAGTAATTAAAATACCTGGTCTCAGACCAAGAAGCCTATATTCTAGGAGTTGCTTGAGCAAATTTTTTAATCTAGTTGTGACAGATAAGAGACCTTGCAGAAGTTGGGAAGAAATAATGAAGAACAAAACTGAGGAAGCACAGAGAAGGGCCTAACAGAGCAACTTGCCAAATCTGGGTTTCTTCTTTGCTGGGAAAAGAGAATACTTCTGTCTATACAATTTGAGTTTCTAATTTGGATGTGGGGAGTAGAGAGTAGGGAGTGGAGTTAAACTAAATTGCCTTCACTGCATACCACTAAAAGGACTTCTAAATATTACTTTGTCAATGGAGCAAGCAAATTTTTTTAAAACACTTTTTTTTTTGAAGATTTTATTTATTTTAGAGAGTGAGAAGAGAGAGAGCATGCACGGGGGAGGGGCAAAAGGAGAGGGAGAAACAGACTCCCCACTGAGCAGGGAGCCCATCTGAGTAGGGAGCCTGACTCGGGGCTCAATCCTGGGATTCTGGAATCATGACCTGAGCCAAAGATAGACATTTAACTGATTGAGCTACCCAGGCGCCTTAGCAAGCAAATTTTTATTGAGTCTCACCTCTGGAGTGGCTCGAAGATAAATGATTCCATCCAGTTCAAGGCTTTGGCCAAACTGTTGATTCATCCAGTCATGCCAGTCTTGATAAATTGTCCACTCTGTTTCATTCATGCAGTCAGATTCATACAAATTAGATGCAAAGACATACCTGAAAGAGAGTCTACATCAAAACATAATTCCTTTCCAAAAAACACAAAGAAATAGAAAAGAGAAAATAAATCTACTAAATGGACATGGAACATTCTCCTAAAATCCATGGCAGATAATGCCTTAGACAGCAGAAAAAATCAATAGAATACCTCCAACTACAAGAAATATGTTCTTGGCCAGCAGTTCTCAAAAATGTAGTGTAAGGACCCCTGCTAGTCCCCAAGATCTTTCCAAGGTTCCATGAGAGGCCAGATTACTGTATATACAATACTTCAACCACATGTACACAGATTGAATATAGAAGCATAAATGAGAATCCAGCTATCTCCCATTTAGACATTAAAGAGATTTGCAAAAATATAAAACAATCCTCTTCTAATTTTTTGTTTTGAAAAATATAATTTTTACAAGTATGTTATTTATGCTAATATGTAATGGGTTTATTATTACTAATTTTAAATTAGTAAATGTTCTTTATATTTTTCAATCTTAATTTTTAATAACATAAATATCAGTAAGACACAAAGCTCTTTGGACTCTTCAATAATTATATTAAGAATGAAAAGGGATCCTGAGACCAAAGTTTGAGAACATTTGTTCTGAGCCAACTCTCTAGCTTAAAAGAATCCTTGCATAAGCAGGGTAACTCTAAGGCCCCCTTAGAGATTTTTGATCTTGCTCAAGATGCAAGTCTTGAATATAGATCCAGACTTAACCAGAGTAGATGAAAACTTTAAGAGGGTTGGAAGAAAAAAAACTTCTCTGCAAATCTGAATGAGATGGCTATCATATTCCCTAAAGTTTCCGTGGAAGCTAGCAATTATTAACGCTAGAACTAGAGAATGCCGTTGCTACCAAACTGCTAAAGGTAATGTTGCATCTCAAATCCTCAACACAGCCTCTCTTATTCCTTTAATTATCAGAAACAGAAATAAAAATCCCAGTTCCAAGCCACGATTCCAGAATGACAAGGGCAAGTCATTTATATATACCTGTCACTATATATAGATCGTTCAAAAAATAATACAGGTTTCTCTGCATCTTTGAGCTTGCCATCAAGATAGGCAAGCTGGGCTCGTATTCGACTGAGGCAGGCATATGACTGGAAGGTAAAAGACCACCGTTCAGGTTTCTCGTACATCATCTGAAGAACATTTCCACCACTTTCCTGAGATGTTGTCAGTTCCTATTTTGAATGTGAAAAAAGAAACAAAAAGCAAAATTAATGATCAATAGAGCTATTTAAATTTTTAAAAAAGCTCAAAAAGAGAAGTTAGATAAATAAATGCATCACAATTAGCAAAACCAAGATGATTAAGTCCTCTTCCTCCTGCTCTTTCCCATTGCAGTTTTCAGGTTGCCTGAGGTCTAGAAGAACCTGAAAGGCTAGTTTAACCATCGGTTCCTTAGAGCTTGTCCACAAGAAGTCACAAACTAAAAGCCTATGGCAGAAAATACTTGTTTAGCCCTTTTAAACATTTGAATTAGTTGTCAATAGTTATTTAACTCTTTTTTTTTTTAAAGATTTTATTTATTGACAGAGAGAGAGAGCACAGCAGGGAGAGTGGCAGGCAGAGGGAGAGAGAAAGGGAGAAGCAGGCTTCCCGCTGAGCGGGCTCGATCCCAGGACCCTGGGATCATGACCTGAGCTGAAGGTCATGACCAGACGCTTAACCAACGGAGCCACCCAGGCGCCCCAGTTGTCAATATTTAATAGCTAAATAATTTCACATAATACACCTAGATTATATCTTCTTTTTAAAAACGCAAAAACCACCAACAGCATTTTCCACGGAACTAGAACAAACAACCCTAAAATTTGTATGGAACCACAAAAAGACCCTGAAGAAAAACAAAGAAAATCGTATTGAATCCGCGGCCTCTGCCTCTCCAGCCAACTTAGTAGTCTATAAGTTTTAGCAAGCACCTTTAGCCGAGTGATGGATTAACTAAAACTTTCTTGGTGTATCTATAGATTCTGTATTGTTTCCTAGAAAAACCCAGAACCAAATCCTCTTGAACAACTTCCCTCCCCCACCCCGGGGCACCAATACACAACCTCTGAGCACCATGATAAGGTCTGTAGCTGGCACCACTGAGTCTGCACACAATCAAGAAGTGTTAAAGACCACTATGCTCCTTTTTACTGAATAACTGCCCTAAAGTTCCTTTAAAAATCTTTGGGCCAGGCAGAAACCCTGGAGTTGGTTTCTGGACAAGAGTCCACCTTCTCCCCAGGTGGTGGATCTCCTGAATAAAGCTCATATGCCTTTCCAATCAGAATTTATCTCTTGAGTATTGGCTTTTCAGGTGATGAGCAGTCGAACTTGGGTCTTTCAGTAACAGTATCACAATCCTAGACTTTAAGATAAACTACAAAGCTGTAGTAATCAAAACAGTATGGTACTGGCACAAAAACAGACACATAGATCAAAGGAACAGAATAGAGAGCCCAGAAATAAACCCATATTTATATGGTTAACTAATCTATGATAAAGGAGGCGAGAATATACAATGGGGAAAAGACCATCTCTTCAATAAATGGTGTTGGGAAAACTGGACAGCTATATGTAAATGAATGAAACTGGACCACTTTCTAACACCATATACAAAAATAAACTCAAAATGGATTAAAGACCTAAATGTGAGACCTGAAACCATAAAACTACCTAAAAGAGAACACAGGCAGTAATTTCTCTGACATCAGCCATAGCAACATTTTTCTAGATACATCTCCTAAGGCAAGGGAACAAAAGCAAAAATCAACTATTGCGACTACACCAAAATAAAAAGCTTTTGCAAAGCAAGGGAAACCATCAACAAAACAAAAAGGCAAGCTATTGAATGGAAGAAGATATTGGCCATTGATATATCCATCTGATAAGGGGTTAATACCCAAAATAAAAAAAACTCACACAACTAAACACCAAAAACCCAATCTGATTAAAAAATGGACAGAGGACCTAAATGGACATTTTTCCAAAGAAGACATACAGATGGCCAAAAGACACATGAGAAGATCCTCAACAACACTCATCATCAGGGAAATGCCAATCAAGACCATGAGATATTACTTTATACCTGTCAGAACGGCTAAAATCCAAAAAGATAATAAGTGTTGTTGGCAAGGATATAGAGCAAAAGGAATCCTCATAGATTATTGGTGGGAATGTAAATTGGTGCAGCCACTGTGAAAACAGTTGGGAGGTTCCTCAAAAATTAAAAATAGAATGACCATATGATTCAGTAATTCCACTACTGGGTATTTACCCAAAGAAAACAAAAACACTAATTCAAAAAAGTATATGTACCCCTCTTTATTGCAGCATTATTTACAATAGCCAAGACATGGAAACCACTTAAGTGTCCACTGACAGATGAATGGATAAGAAAAATGTTATATATATATGTGTGTATATATATATATATATATATCATATATACAAAATATATATGAAATATAGAAATATAAAACATAAAAAATATATATAAATACATATAGTGGAATAGTACACAGCCAAAAAAAGGATGAGGTTATGCTGTTTGTGACAACATGGAAGGACCTAGAGGGTATTGTTAAATGAAATAACGCAGAGAAAGGCAAATATATGATTTCATGCATATGTAGAATCTGAAAAAAACAAATGAATAAAAAAATAAACAAAAAGCAGAATCAAATCTATAAATACAGAGAACAAATTGATGGCTGCCAGAAGGGAGGAGGATGGGGGATGGGCAAAATGGGTGTAGGGGAGTGGGAGATACAAGCTTCTGGTTCTGGAATGAATAAGCCACAGGAATAAAGGGCACAGCACAGAGAATATAGTCAATTATATTGTAACAGCATTGTATGGTGCCAGATGGTAGATACACTTGTGTATTCAGTTGCTATACAACTGAAATTAATGCAATATTGTGTGTCAACTATACTCAAATGAAAAAAAAAATGTTTTTTAATGTGAAAACCAAGCAATACTGTGCCTGTAGTTCCTCTCAATAAAAATTACCTAGAGCCAAGTCACCTATGCTTCCATTAGGTGGGACATATGCTCTCCAGTTTATCAGCCCCTGTCATTCCTTGTTGATTCTCTCAACAGGCCTGATTTATTTGTTAGCTACCTGGCCCGTCTAGGCATTTTAGGCCCCATTCTTCTAATAAAACAGAACAAGGCCTCCCTAAAATTTTGTGATTTCATAATCATATTTTTAGAACCAATATTTTCAGTTTAAGAAAAAAAAATGTAGAATAAAAATAAAGCAAAATCTCTGTAATCTTTTTTTTTTTTTTTTGAGAGAGAGAGAGAGAGATGGAGAGCATGAGCAGGAGGGGCAGAGGGGGAGAGAAAGAATCCTCAAGCAGACTCCATGCTGAGCGTGGAGTCTGACATGGGGCCCAATCTCATGACCCTGAGATCATGACCTGAGCAGACACCAAGAGTAGAACACCCAACCAAACTGTGCCACCCAGGTGCCCCAAACTCGGTAATCTTATAAATGAATCTGAAATAGCATCTAGAACTCATGAATTATTTTCCTTTCTATAAAATACACTTTTCCTAGCCCTGTCCACCAAAAGGCCTATAAACAATGACAACCTTTTAGGAACAAACATAAATGTCACCCAGATTATGATCTCTAAATACCATTTCCCACTGAAAGGATTTAGGGTCACATACCTGATTCCACGTCTGAAGAAAGAAATGTACAAGATGAGTTTAATACCTCTTGTTCCAGGAAACAAGTAAGTTTACTATCAAAATCAACTGAGGTTGTACCAAGGGAAAGGGAGCCAACATGAAAGGGCTTCCACTTGTCAAAAAGATAGAACCCTTTGAACATCTGAAAGGAATGGTGAATGGAAGGCAAAAATTGATAAATTCATAATACTAAAGAAAACCAGAAAAAAAAAAAAAAAACTCTCCAGTCATCTTTGGAGATTGCTAGGTCACCAATTAATTACTATGGAAATCTCTAGATAGAGAGAAAAAATTATCCAAAATTTTATTCTGGCCCTTTCTATACAAATGTTATTTCAAGTTAATGGAAGAGTAGATGAGGAAAAGGTCTTCTCTGACTGAAGAAATCTCAGCTAACAGGCTTGATTATTAGAATATCACCTTTTCCAACACCAACTGATATATTAGATTAGGGCAACAATTAGCAATACATCCTAAAAATCATTACAGAAAAGCTAATAGGGAATTTTTTTTTTTTTTTAAAGATTTTATTTATTTACTTGACAAAGAGAGAGAGTTAGTGAGAGCAGGAAACAAGCGGGGGAGTGGGAGAGGGAGAAGCAGGCTTCCCGCCGAGCAGGGAGCCTGATGCGGGGCTCGATCCCAGGACCCTGGGATCATGATCTGAGCCGAAGGCAGACGCCTAACGACTGAGCCACCCAGGCGCCCCCTAATAGGGAATTTTATAATGTATGAATTAGGCTGATAAAACCTGAACAGACCCGGGAAATGCAAATCAGAACAGACTGATTGATTTTAACATCACAAAAGACATCCTCCTGGTGGAATGTGAAAGAAAATACACATCATCACCTAAGAAGTCCAGCCAAAAAAGAACACCAAATCTAATCAAAGCTCTAGAGATCTAACTACAAATTTACAGGAAATACAGAGATTGAGAAACATGTTAAACTATACCACAGAGATGCACTCAGCCAAGACCAGAATGATGGAAACTGTACAAGAACAAATGACCCAGTTTCTTCAACTAATAAACTGCAAAGAAAAAAGAGGAAGAGGAACCAATAGATTAAAATTGAAAGTCTTATCAACTAAATATAACATGTGAACCTTATTTGACTCTTGATAACAAACTATAAGAAAATTATAAGACAATAAAGAAATATGAACACAAACTAGATGTGATGACACAGTGGAATTACTAATCTTTTAGATGCAGGGGTTTTTTTTAAAGAATCCTTTTTTCTAGAGTTTCTATTGAGTCTTTAATTTCTACAGATAAAAATATTATCTAGAACAGAGGTCGTCAAAGTGTGGCAGGGGAATGACTGAGGAGTCCCTGAGATCCTTGCAGGGGTCTACAAGAAAAAAAAATGGTTTTAATAATAAATGTACCTTTTTCCATTCTCATTCTCTCATGAATGTATGTTTTTTTTTTTCTTTTTTTAAGATTTTATTTATTTATTTGGTAGAGAGAGACAGAACAGAA